CGATCGTATGTGTCGTCGCCTCTGTGATGACTTACGCAGGTCGCGCAATAAATCAACTTGATTAGAGTACGCTGGATTGGACAACATTAATCATATATTAGCTACATAACATTTCGCACTATTTGCTATAATAAAAGACCAATTTTTAACATTAATACATTGGTAATGCTGGCTGATAAAAATGACATTTGCTTCTTAATTCTACGGATTAAAAAAAAGAACGACTACCATCTCCGTCTATCTAAATGGGAATAAAAAGTGATGCAAGACTAAGAGCATCTGAAGAAAAGAAAAAAAAACAGGCGCACACTTTTGACTAAACAATTGCACAAGTGTGGGGCGATTGTCGATTGTTTCGAATCCAATTCAATTGTTTAACACAAGTAAGAATCGAATAGTGTTCCCACTTCAATATAATGTTAAAAGAATTCAAGCGAGACTAAACAGTCGTACGACAATTTAGTTTGATATATGCGCACGGTCTAAAGTCGGTTATGTTAATGAGTTCCATGTATAAAATCTTGATGCGAATAAGTCTCTACGTTATTTTGAAGGGATAAACAGAATCTAATGCGTGTATTACTTATACATGTTTTCTTTTCTGTCTCTAATTGCCTTGCAACGTGAGTGCCTGTCGTCTACGCCTTTCTTTGTCACGCAGCTTTATGACACTAGTGTCAAATGAGTGTCACACGGGCTAATGAGCAAAAAACTCAAGAAGGGGTTACGTAATGAGGCCTCCTGCTTAAGGCGGAGGAATGTATTTTTTAATGTCAAGTCGTAGCTACCAAATGTGTTTTTTTATTGGTTATTTATGCAATAGATATGTAACTAAAGAAACATAAGTGTAATTGGCTCTTTTAACAGTGGAAGTGTCCGCTTTAACATCTTAGCACGAATGTGCCGGCACGCCCGGTGTAATACCACGACCACACAGAAGACAGGCGTGAAATGGAAGCAATTCCGTGTTTCGTCTGATGAGTGTGGTGCCGGAGGCCTAATTTAAGTCCCTTTCTCTTTACCATCCTTTTCTTATAAGGAGAGGTTGGGAAGGGGAAGTGAATTTGACGGTGGAGGAGATGCATAGGAAGGGGAATTATCCTCTTTATGTGCGTCTCCTCCTCCGTCGTATAAGGGTAGGCAACGCATCCGCAATTGCGGATGTCTATGGGCAGCGGTCGCTTCACCATTTTGGCGGATTCTAGTGTCCGCTTGCTCCTTCGCCACCTTATGTTACAAAAAAAAAATGTCTTTTTTCATTCATCCATTCATGCGAAGATGTTAAAGCGGGCTCTACCACTGTGGATTTGTGGATTTTACAGTAAAAGTAAAACTAAAGGTAAGAGGTGGATGGATTGCGTGAAAGGTGACATGATCAAAAAGGGAGTGATGACTGAGATGACGGATGATTGAGTTATTTGGAGGACGAAAACCCGGGAGTAGGATAAGGCAGGGGAGATGATAATGACAGTAAAAGTAAAACTTTTTTATAATCAGTGTTATACACGTTCGTATCGTAAAAAGAAGTATTCTTTAAAGCATTAAAATAATCCTGGAAACCTGCACTCTGAATGTAGCAACGCTATCACAAGGCGCTAACCGAAAAGGTGCTTAGACGTAGTTTCCTACTGAATTGTCCATTTGAATCCCGTTTAACGACACTCCGCCAGCTACGTTCCGATAGTTCGCAACTTTCGACGCGATACCAAAAGAAGTTTCGTGTACGTGAGAAGACTGCAGCGAGATACCGAATTATTTTACGGATCATGTTCTTTCTAAAAGTGCTCGTATATTTGATGTTTAAGTAAAAAAAATCTACTGAGTTTTTGTTTTAAGATTATCCTTTGTACTTTTTAATTCAACAAATTTAGTAAACAGTTTCTATGTGTCGATATTTTCGCTTTTTAAAATCTGATTTGAGAATTCACTACTACAAACACTTACTAGATAGCAGCTGTGACCCGTGACTCCGTCCGCGTGAAATTAAAAAAAGCTTAACTAGTAGTCTATGTGTTCTTTTAGAGTTCTAGACTATGATCTACATCTGACCAAATTTAATTACTCACTAAGCCGTTCTGGAGACACCTATAACATCCATCTATATAAACATTCGCATTTATGACATTGTTAAGTTGCCTTGCTTCCTTGATGATGTTTCCCACATGGGTTTTTCCAATTTAATTACCCCCAAAGTTAAATAGCGTGAAAATATATAGCCTAAAGCATATCGTAAGTGTTGGGCTTTTTACTAAAGAAATAATTATTAAAAAATATACTGTGATTGCTGACATCCTACGCCACAATGTAGTGTGTGTTTACGCTTTATTATATTAGTATTGATATAATTAAGGATGACTCATTGCTGTGAAACAAAAGACAATCAACAGTAGACGAGATGCATAGTTTATGTCACGTCGATGTTCAAATGTATTTACATTGTCCGGTATCTATGGACATAGTAAAACCAGGTAGGTAGTTACTGCAGCAAACAGCGCAGATTCTCACGGGTATAGACTCATTGTGTAGCACGTTACTGTTATAGCTAAGCTAAGCGAGCTGGAATGGACAGCTCGTGCGTTTTTAATAGCTTAGTTTATACCATATATAGAATAGTTACTAAAAGATTTAATAAACGCGTTTTTGTATCCAATTTGTCGTCTTTCATCAATGCTTTTGAGTGCACATCCGGAAAATATAGTCAACGCAACGAACGTCCGCTTGTGAATACAGATAAACGTGATTTCATCTTGAGATAAGTCACACGAACCTTTCTCAATAGTTAGTTATGACAATTTATGACGTCACATGTTTATACACTGTCATACAATTAGAATGATTCTGTAAATGAAATAAACTAAGCTGAAATCGTAGGTTAGATAGAAAAATGGCAGTATTCAAAATGTACATTTTACAATTTTACAAAATAAGCATTTAAAGTTTTAATTTTTTTTTCAATTCCATTAAAGTTTGAAAATTTTGAAAATGTTATATCTCTCTTTAATTGACGAAATATCCTTCATATTAATTTTTTAACCAAACGCATTAGATTACATTATTAGTAGCGCCAGTGGTGGAGAAATTGAGAAGCAAAAGGTTAGCGTGGTATGGACATATTATGCGACGAAATGATGGGGACATAAACCAGAAAGTGTTGAGATTGAATGTGGATGGCTACAAAGGAAGAGGAAGACCGAAGAAAGTATGGATGGATTGTGTGAAGGAAGATATGCTTAAGAAAGGAGTGTATTCAGATATGACGGCTGATAGAGATGTATGGAAGAGCAGCACATACTGTGCCGACCCTCCATAAGGGATAAGGGCAAGTGGATGATGATGATGATGATGCATTAGATTACAAAGAATTATAACTAAATTGAAAGATAATGTTTGTATAAAAAATATGTGCCAAAACAGCTGATAAATGTATTGAATTACACAATGTAGCATATGATTCGTTCGTTGGTGAAACAACACGTCCAATCAAGTCGAAGTTTACCGGTAGTCGTTCGTGTTTTTTTTGTTCCACAACGTTGAAGGGGTCAAGTCATAAGAACAGTTATTTTTAATAAAGTACGCGATAACTTAATTATTATTTGAGATCCGCTTTTTGATATTTTCTTGTATATGAAGTAATTACATTTCGATTGAACGTCGAATATTATTCAGCCCGTGTAATAAAATGGATGCATATGTTGGAAGGGTCACCGAGGTTTTTAAGAAATTCCAAGTAGTTCTCTTTCTCTAGATCCACCATAGGATTGTATTGTAATTTTCATGAAAAGTCATACTATTGAGAAAATATACAAAGAGAAACAAGACCAATCTCAAATTAAAGCTATCTTGTTATCTTTTCCTGAAAAAAGCAGGTAAAATAATAGAAATAGGGGACCCGCGTATTGGCTCCGGACAAATTGAATTCAATATTTTCTGGTTGAAATATCACAAACAATGCCCCCACCGAGTTTCCTTCCGGCGGAAGCAATAGAGATAGACATCACAAATATCGCGACATTGAATAACCGATATACGAAATGCTTGGAAGTTAGCAATATAGAGAAACACAAACTTGTATAATCAATGTATATAAGCCTACTTCTATTCCTAAGTTGGACTATTTACAATCTCTACAACTACAGATCTAGTCATTAGAAGATTGTATGCTGGCATATCTATAGAGTCTTTGAAGCTTTTCGAGTATATGGCGTTGGTTTTCGAATCAAAGCAACCCAGAACTGAATAGAGTAAGATGCTGTCAGCTTACGGAATAAATAAAAAATACCCGAAACCGCATTGAACCGGCGAGCGATATAGATCGCTGAGCGAACGCTCAATGCTCTAATACCGGTAATGGACGCCGGCACGCTCCGGCTCAGTTCGATTTTCCGAATCGTTTGCGCCGCACGCCGCAGCTAGATAACGAGAAATGTCGCGACTATCGTTTTATGTGCATCGAAGATTGCCAGAGCCACGCCAACGCCTTCTAACCTCCCGCTGATATCACCGAACCGCTCACCGCATTTCCTTAATATAATTCTAATATTAAATCGAATAAAAGCGATTTTTATGAATTTTATTGTAGTATAATTTATTGCGAGTATTGGTGACTCAGGGTTTAAGCATTCAATGTGTAGATCTTGGTTTGAATCCCGCCATGTACCAATGGATATTTGTATTTCACTTGTAAATTTCCTCTGCATTCTTAAGGAAGAAAAACATCGACATGGAACCTGCTTATATCTGCCAATAAATTTAAAGATATATGTCAAGTCAACCAACCCGCAAGGGACCAGCGTGGTTGACTAACTAAACGTAAAGAAGAACGTATGGTAAGCATCAAATCACCACATAATGTTATCTATTACAGCGACTATTGCAATAGGTTCTTCGGGATGTAAGGGTTCCTAAAGGTTAGTACAAATTACTGAAGAGTACAAACTCTTTGCGCAGTCTTACCACATTTGTTTGTTGGACGGAGATATCAAAGTAAAATTTGTACGTACCAGGAACATGTGATCGGGAATACGACTCTCATTCCTAAAGTATCTGAAACAAAATGAAATAAACGTTAAATATCGCACCATAATGAGAATTAATTTGTGGCGTTTCTCGTTGTTTTAAGTTGAATTATCAAAATTAAATAAAATTCACATGTCATACTTATTATTTACGGAACGTTCGTGATTGACAATTTCATGACATTGTTTTCCGTTAGTTCCGCTAATTGTCCGGAATATCGTACGTAAACAAATTTAAACGTTGATAAACATTGTATTCTGTAAGATGATCTCACTTCGTATAATGATTAGCCCACGCAAACAACTTCCATGACTGTATAAGAACAGGATGAAACAAATCAGTCGCAGATTAATCGAGAAGCAAATTACCGTAACCAATACACCTCAAGACAACTACTAAAACTAGCGATGGCATACAAGGACAAATTACATATTTAACGTTGCCGGTTAATTGTGAACTTGGTCCGTTTATAATCTTACTAAAATTACAAATAAATGTCTGGCAATTGTACACCGATAGAAGTAAATTATGAACGACTATTCGCCCGGGATTCCTTCCCAGTGGAATTTTATAAAAACTACATCTATGCCAAATTTCATCGAGATCCATTCAGCAGTTTAGGCTTCAAACTCTAACAAACATCCATACATCCATTTAACATTCGCATTTATGATATTAGTATGAATGATTTGAAAAGTTTACACTTTCGTATTAGTTAAAAATATACCTAGTCACTACAAATAGACGAGTTTCACAATATATCTGTATCATGTTCTCAAGCACAAGACATACTAAAGTTTATAATGCACGTTTCTGATGAATGCCGCGAGCGATGCACGCACAGACAAAAGATTTTGATTAATCACGATGAATACAAGCTGGGAAAAGTGTTGTGAAATGTTTTTATATGTAAGAGTAATTTGTATCTGTGTAGTTGAAATGACGAATGAAGTGTCATTTAAGGCGAGTTCTTCTCAGGAGTGTTATAGTCGTACTGTAAATCAACCTAAGGTCGTTCACTGCTGAACTGCTACAATCACCAATACATTCCCGCAACCTAGATCATGTCCATCTTGCGGAAGGCCTACCTTTGCGTCGACCTCTCCGGGACTTTTCAACCCATTATAATAAGTGGTGTTTACAAAAGTTACAAGACCTTTAAACACGTCTTACTAATATTATAAATGCGAAAGTTTAGATGGATGGATGGATGTTTGTGAAGATGAAATTTGGCATAGACATAGAGGATAATCTGAAAGAACACGTAGGCTACTTACTTTTATTTTTTTAATTCCACGCGAACGGAGTCGTGGGCGAAAGCTAGTACAACTCTTAACAATACAAAGACATCTTTAAGTAACTAGTCAAATGTTCGAAAACTCCACGCTATTCTACGAGTGTACTGAGGCGTGTGGGAATTCGACGATGCAAATATCTAGAGTAAAATATACAATGCCAGTTGTGAAGAAGTTGTTTCAGTATCACAACATAAATGTATAAGACGATACTACTCTGTGACTATTATTGTCTCATAATAGCTATGTTAGGATCTTTTTGTCGCAATTTGATGATTCATAGCACGATTCTATGAGTAATAAATGTCGCTTTAATCATAGACGGTTTATCTGATTAAGTCTAGCTTAAAAGGTTACCTTTTAACGTTTAACAATAGGACAGTCATATGCTATATTTCAGTACTAAATAGTTCACAGGCCTTGAATCTATATTTTGATTTAGATAGATAGAAATAAATGGAGTTAGTTTTATGATCAAACACAATAGAGGTGACAACTTTATGAAAGTCCTAGCTTTCGCCCGCGACTCCGTCGGCGTGGAATTAAAAGAAACGAAAGTGAGTAGCCTATGTGTTCTTCCAGACTATCTTCTACGTCTATGCCAAATTTCATAGAGTACCGTTCAGCCGTTTAGGCTACAAACTCTAACAAACATCCATCTATCCATCTAAACTTTCGCATTTATAATATTAGTAAGATTGTAGAAACACATTGAATATCTACACAATATCTACATTGCAAGGCGCAACTTAATAATGTAGTATTTAGACGCATTCAAAGTTTTGTAAAATTCAAATCCTACAAAGTTACCGACATCATCAGTTCAGACATCCCTTTGTGCGCGTGCCAACCCTAAGAAGTTTTTATTCCACAAAAGAAATAATGTATCAATTTTTCTTTCCCCAACCATTGGCGTCCAGTATCTCTTCCGTGTTCCGAAACAATTTGATTTTATTATCCGTCGAGCGGGCGTGTTTCATGTTGCCCTCGGGAGTTTTTCTAATTTACCCAACCTGTGATTCACCGGTGGCTCATCCGTTTGCGGTAATTGCAACGATTTAACATTCAGATAGCAACATTGAACGCGAGCGAAGTGGCTGCGATGCGCTTTAGAATTATGTGCAGCAAGATTAACTTTGCGAATGGACGTTTAATTAAATTTTACTTCTACATTTGTTGTTAAACACTTTGTTTGTAGAATTTCATAAAAGATAATAAGACACTATAACGACAATAATTGTTTTAGGCAATACGGCCAATGGTTTGTTGGTCGGTAATGTTTAGAGTAGCTTTTGCCCGACTCCGTTCGCGTGGAATTAAAAAAAAAACAAAAGTAATTAGCCTCAGTGTTCTTCTAGACTATGTACTACATCTATGCCAAATTTATTTAGATCCATCTAAACTTTCGCATTTATAATATTAGTGTGATGAATATGACAATACTATTATCATAATTAACCATGTTAAGATAATATTTTAATGACTTCCAAGAGTAAATCTAAAATATAGGAAGGAAAAATTTGTTGGTGGAGACGCATAGGAAGGGGAAATATAATTTTAAGTGCGTCTCTTTCTTCCTTAAGAGTAGACAAGAAGTCTATGGTCAGCGGTCGCTTGGCTATTGTGGTGACGTCATATGGCCGCTTGCTTGCCACCTTATGAAATAAAATATCTATCCTATAAAAAAATCTTTTAATATATGCAAATACAAAATAGAAGGCTGAGTATACGAACTGAAAACTAATATAGTATCCTTGTTACCGCCACATACGTTGTCTTAGTGTAATAATAGTTAAAGGACGTGAAGATCCGTTCCGCCCAGTTAATTGCACGTGTACGGCTGTATGCGGTCTACATCGGCAAACTATAATTAAACTGAAAACCTATTACTAGTTCGCTGTGTAAGATATTTACTAGAAAGCGACGCTTCCCTTTGACTCATTTCTCTGTAACGTCTAAGCGGGTATTCTAAATATAATTTCGAGGAAGTTGTCTTTCTATCGTCGGTTATGATAATAAAATTAACTACATATATCCTAATGTATCCTTTTTTTAATCTTCATGATTTGCTTATAATACGAATTTAACATATAATTTATTTGCTGTATTAAGAAGAAAAAGGTAAAATGGTTTCGCGCGAAATATTTCCCTAACTTAAATTAAACCGAGTTTCGCCTGTTTGCGAAACAATAAAAAATAAAAGAAACATTTTTAAAAGAGATACTTGCCAGCCGTCGTAACTGTTTTTACTAACAAATTAAGGAAGTGTCCCGCCGGCCGAGTCGCAGATGAAATTAAGTAGGTTTGTAATCTTGGCGTCGAGTTTTAGAGGACAAAAGTTTGGGAAATTACGTTTTCTGATACTGTATAGATGTTTTAATATTACTTTATACTCTCACCATTTCAACGGACCATTAATATATTCAAAACTGTAACTATAGTAGCCATCATACTCATAAATGAGAAATTATGGATCGATGTTTGTTGCTCCAAAACGAATTAACGGATCTCGATGAGATTTTGTTAACTTACTATGATGTCCTTAGTTCCGCAAAAAAGCTACTTTGAATTATTTTCAAGTGTAAGTGTTATACTACATACTTTGTTGGTTTAATATTTAAAACATAAAAAGCATTATTAATCGATATTACGGCCAATAGTCTATTCAAAAACGTAGCCATTTTTTTAATATAAAAATAGTAAGGGGTTAATTAGATTTAACAAATTTAATATAGAAGTTACAACAGCGAGTTACAAGTAGGTCAGATAGTCTTGCATCGGACATCAGGAAGCGAACTCTGCAGCCGGATATAAGCCGGTCAATCCCGGTCATCCGGGAGCCAAGCGGGAGTAATGTCGCGGCGGCACGGACAAATAGTCCTTTAGATTAGCGTCGCCTTGATTAACTTTGTTAAATGATGTTCGCCTACTTTGTTATGCACCCCTGGTACATCGCGTTGGGGATTACACGAACTTGTTAGTTAGAAAAAAAAATGTCTGGCACACAAAAACTCGTTCGTCTAAATTATATAGAGTATAAAAACAAATCGAATACATAAAGCTACTTAAAAATATTCTGACTTTTAATTAACTTTAAATGTTATCAAAATTTTCGCTAAAATATTCATTTTCACATCACATATATCTTTGGATTAGTTAAAGTCGAACGCCTCCGCTACGGATGTGTGTAATCAGTTATACGGGCGGTTTAATGGGACAAATTAAATGAACCGGGCGTTTGTCGGCGACCGATAGTGGGTAACTGCTCGCCTTTGCCGCTGAAAAGTGGCCAGACTAACGCGAAATTATCAAATGAGAGAGATTACCAATTGCTAAAATCGATAAAATCACTTTGAAAGTGTGTACACACCTGAAACTAAAATATAACACAACTGTTGTCTCGCTTTGAGCGTATACGGAGCGCACACTACTCGATTTTTAGTTGTGTAACTAAACAGTTGAATTGTCTGCGAAACAATCGACAATCGCACAACAGTTGTACGAGAGTGTAGTCAAAGGTCTGCGCCCGATCTAAAAACAACAAAATTTACTATGAATTGTTTATACCTGCGTAGTAATTTACGTGCGTGATGTCCTTAAATAATTAAGTTTATATTTTTTGCAATATATTTAAGTGAACTTCAAGTTTTAAACAATTGAATGTTATCGATACTGCTAAGAATGCAAGTCTTGCTCAAGAATTGAACCCAGGAAATCCGCCGCGAGGCGCCT